TAACTCGTGTTACTCTCGTTCACCGTCCGTTCGAACCGTGCAATTGCCGTTTCAGGAACATCCCCTATATCCGTCCAGCTTCGGAGCTCCACACGTTTCCCGTTGTTGTAGATGCATGCCTTCCGGTTGACCCAGTCAGTCTCGGGGTTGACCGCTTCAGAAAATCTCGCCCCAAGATGAAGTCTAACCCCTTAATCGTCATGATTGGCAACGTCGGCTTCCACCTTAACGCCCATATCTGCAGCAGCAGTGTTGACTCGCCGTGGATGGGAAGCTTTGTACCGTCCACCATCGTTGTCGTGAACTGGGTCTCCTCCGAGGACTCTCCAATTTTCTCCAACGTCCCACTGTCACGAACCGAATGGGACGCACCACGGTCCACTAGTGCCTGGAGGCGTCGCCCGTTGCAGAGCACCTCGAGTATTAGTGGCTGCTGCTGCTCCGAGTAGCCGTAGATGGTCTCGCTTATAGGATCATAGGGCACATAAAATAAATATTCCCTAGGTCCTGCGCTCGAAGTTGCCGACTCAATATCAGGTTTCACCTTTGTAGGGTTAGAAGGTTTTATCCGAGGTACAACTTCTCCTGGGCCTGGAACCTTTGCAGCTGTGTAGGCTTCACCTGTCGGGAACGACGGAGAGCCTTAACACAATGCTGCTAGGAGAGAATATTAACCCATCAAAACCCTCGACACTTATCAACGCTCCGGGGTGGGGTCCCCACATTAATCAGTACCGGTATAACTCTCCATAAATAAAGGCTTGAAAACCACGAGAAGTAATATTCGTATTAATGTATCCTTATAGAATAATTTTAGCAAATTCTTACTTGTCGGGGTGTACGGCTGGAGTTTCCTGGTCGGTGCAGAGTCTTGTTTCGCGGAGTCTCCATTTCTCTCGGCGATCTCCCCTGGTGCCGGCCGGTCGTGACGTTTTACATTCGCGCCGTCATATTCTCCTTTTTTTTCGCCCTTTCCAAAGTGGCCACGTTGTCCGTTTTCTGCTTCGGGGGTGCCGCACTGTTATTGCCCTCAATCTCCGCACGTGCTTTCTCCATTTTCCAACACGCCATCTACGATGTCCAGTAGCGCCGCAAAATTCGCACGTTTCATTTTTTTCTAGCCGCTCCTTTGCATCGCCCTTGTCTTTCTCCATCGGGTCGACAGTCGTGGGTCCTGCCGACCGCCCCATCCCACTATTTGGCTGGTTACGTCGCGTTCCGTAGTAGATATTGTTCAGCGCATCGAACTGTTCGATCAATGCTGCCTGATTCTTCGCTCACGTTCTTTCACGTTGGACAATTTTGTTGTTAATACACTCTAGAGCTGGCCTTCTAGCAGTGTTGCTGCGAGCCGTATGCGCATCACGTCTTGGGTGGGGGTCGTGAATCCAAAAGCTTTGATGTAAATTTCGAGTTCATCTACGAATCAACGAACGTCGCTCCCTTAAACTAGTTGCCTCAGCTTCACTTCTTCGAGGTTATCTGTAGCTACTGTCGTTGTCGCAGATACAATTGTCTCTGTCGCCGCTAGTGCTGCTGCTACTGTCGATACTGCATTCGCCGATGCGTTCACTGCTGCTGTGGTGGCTGCCGATTGATTCGCGAGGAGTTTTTTGAGTCGTAGGAGCGCCGCACGCATCTGCTCCTTCTCAGCGCGTAACTCCGTTTTTTTCGTACAAAGTTAGCCCTAATTTCCTCCATTTGGCGTTTTACAGAAAGATATGCGACGAAAATAATTAAATTTTAGGCGCTGGTCGTCTTACTGTGAATCCAATCGTCTACACAAAAGACGGACACTGATTCTGGGGCAAATATTCAAAGGATTTTTTTTCCATCCCACAATTCCATAGGCATATTCAAAGAAATTTGCCTTTCTCTTTAAGCAATGCAATTTTGTAAAAATATATAGCAAAAGAACAGAGTAATTCTTTATTAGTAATCTCTCTTTGATTAAATCTCTATTAATAATGCTTTCCTACTTTCCATTTTTATCTAAATTTATGTCTAATTTACATTACCTTTAAATATTATAACGCTTTGCATAAACATGTAGCCCTAACAAACATATAGCTTATTTTGGGGAAACCATGCATACCCAGAGAATGTGTCGTCCAACAAATCCGAACACAAACTTTGTCGAGGGTGTTTATAATATTATCGCAAGAGCGCATGTAGGGTCCTATGATTTAGAACTATTAAAAATCGGGGAACGCGGTGCGATGGTGGTCGACAGGATTGTGAGAAATTCGAGAATCATCGCGTCGCGCATTTCATTCCCAAGTATTGCTCCCAAACTCTTCGACAGGCCTGCTCCACACTGGTGCGTGCTGGTGCGCGGTGTGCACGACCTCGCAACAGTGCGACTCGGGCGAGGGCGACATAACCCGGTCAACTTCTCAGTGTCGAGGTGGCAAAAACCAGACAAGTTCTGGCTCTCAGGTCGCGGTCCTGGGGTGTCCTGGGACATGCTGACCTGGAAAGTCACCGTGTTGTGGTAGGCAACGCGTGCCCCTCGTCGCTGGGGCAGACCCCGCCCACTGTACACCTGTGCTCGCGTACCAATGAAATTCGTGCGCGATCCAACGGCTGCGATCCTGGGTGTGAAGGAAATACCAGGTCGCACCCCAGAAAATGCAACTTCCGCCCCGACAAAACTCGCGCATTTTTCAGTGCGCCAAATAGTTTTCCCAACACCCAGGGTTCTCACGATTCCCTAAAAACGACCCCCTCGGCTGGATGTTGCCCCGACTACACTTCGGAAGTCGGGTCGTGCAAAAGTGTCGCAGGAGTGTACATTGGCAGCCCTGCGACTTGTGTGTGTGCGGGCATGTTGCCAGCACGTGGTACCAACGTGCGGGGTGTCCAGAGTTCGGATGTCCTGGACACCCCAGGACCGCGATCTCACATGGCATGACAACCAGGACAAGCTCAAGCGTATGAAAGTGGCTGTGGTTGTGTTGTAAGCGAGTCGGAAGTGAGCAGTGCAGTTCGCCTACCTCGCCACCTTTCGCAACGGAAATATATGATACTGTGCTCACACATATTCCAAAACATCTGAGGGTTCTATAGATGACAGCGCGCTAAGGGAGTGATGACTGGCTGATGTGCCGTTATTAGCCATGCTGAGTTGCAAAAGGAAAATGACAAAATGTCGTACACTCCAACATTCTTGCTCACACGTTCTTCCACTTCGACCCGCTGCATTAGAGAGGATAAACGAACATTCGAATTGAGAAGTGGTTTAGCACTCATGCCTCCACCGAAGAGCATCGACCACTACTCGTAGCCTTCACTCCAGAATAACCACTTTCGCCGAGAATTCTACAACTTTCTAGAATTATTACCACAATGGAGCGACCATCGCCTCTCTTCTTCTTCCTGCTCTGTAAGCACTACTACTGTGACTGGTGTACCTGGAATTTTTTAAGACTTGTATTACTTTTGCTGACGACTGCAGTCCAAAATGCCCACCTCGGCATGCCGTGCATTTATGTCGAGTTGACCGGCGCGCGTCACGCCCCTTTGTGCGCTGCTTCCTTGCCCGCAGGTTCGGCGTTCTTCAGTGCCCCCGCAGCCGCATCAATCTTCCCGCCATATCTTCGCGACGGCGTTTCCGCAACGACAGACGCGGCGTCTGCAGCTGCTGGGGGCAGCCTCAAGCCCTTGGCGAAAAAAACGGAGTTGCTGCGTAAGTGTCCGCAGCCCTGTGCCTTCGCTGCACCGCCGTTACGGCGTGGTCCTGCTGCAGAAGACGGTGCCACCTTCCAAAAAGTCAGGGATTACTCAGGGGGGCACTACCCAGGGGGTCTACTCCCTCAGGGGGTCTACCCTCAGAGGGTCTACCCTCAGGGGGTCTACCCTCAGGGGGTCTACCCTCAGGGGAGCCGGCCCGGGGCGCCTCATTTGTGCTACGAGCCGTGGTACTAGTACTGCCTCCTCACCCGTTGTCCTTCCACGTGTCCTTCCCATGCAATATCCCTGCCACTCAAATTGCCAGTTAAGTACGTGTGGAAGCTCCGTCCTACTAAGCTTAATGGCAAAGTGGTCGGCGACAAGCACGCATGGGGGAAATTCGTCATGAAAGCCGTGAGGTGCGTCCGTATTTGCTGCTTATACGGTATCCGTTTTCGCACCCTTCGCACCCCTGCCTGCATCCCTGTCCTCCTCATGACCATCTCTCTCTCTCTCTCCATCTTGTCCTGTTGGCAGGAACTCAAAAGGTTTAATCCATGGAGAGTCTACATACAAGATTATGAACATCAAATCTGGTGGAACAGGCCCTTCCATAGCCCAAGCCTCTTCCTGCTTTAGTACCCCTCCCGGCGGTCAAGTGACTTGGCAAAACATCACTAGTCCCAAGAGCACGGGCAAGTTCTACAGCTTCAAGTACACAATCAAATTTGACCCGGATACTCTGGATTCTGTCATAAGCAGTATACAGAGTTCAGTTGCCGTAGGGGATTACATGTCGGTTTATCATAGTAACAAAGCTACTCCAGCGATCTGTGGGAAGGTAAAGAAAGTGAAGTAGTAGCGCATAGAAACACGTGGTTCTGCTTGATTATGTTAGGAGGTATTGTCAAACTATGCATATATTGTGCTAGACTATAGTGGGGTGTGTTGTTGGGAGTACAACATCGTTAGGGTTACCTATTTGTACCCAACTTTTGCTAGTCCAAAGTAGGTAACGTTCCACACCTAGCCCGCCCGGCCCCGTTCCTTAGCTTAGCCCGCCCCGCCCTGTTCCTTTGCTTAGCCCGCCCCGCCCCGTTCCTTTGCTTAGCCCGCCCCGCCCCGTTCCTTTGCTTAGCCCACCCCGCCCCGTTCCTTTGCTTAGCCCGCCCCGCCCCGGTCCTTAGCGGGCCGCGCCCTGCCCCTCCCCGCACGTAGTATCCAGCTGCTAATAGCGTGCTGCCCCGTCCCACCCCGTACCTGCACGCTGCCCACCTCGCGCTGCCTGCCCCGCGCTACCCGCCCCGTTCCGCACAGCCCGCCCCGCGCTACCCGCCCTGCGCGCTGCCCGCCTTGCGCTGCCCGCCCCGCACAGACCCGCCCGTCCGTCCCGCTCCGGAGCCCGTCCTGTACCACGCACAACCAGCAGCGCGCAACCGCGCACGCGCTGACACACGCACGCAGCCTCGCGCGCGCCGCTGCCAGCACGCACAGCCACGCGCCAGCAGCCGCGCAGGCGTTGCCGCCCGCACGCAGACGGTCTCACGCCGCTGCTCGCGCTCTGCTGCCCGCACAGTAACAGCCGTCCGCGCAACAGCAATTGCGCGCACAGCCACAGCCGCACTCACCGCCACATCTACGCGCGCAGCAGCAACGACCGCACATGCCACTGCAGCCCCGCGAGCCCCTGCTGCCGCACGTGCACAGCCGCGCAGCAGCAGACGCACACGCAGCAGCAGCCGCACGCGCAGCTTCTCCCGCTCCCGCAACAGCATCCGCTCGCGCAGTAACAACTGCACGAGCAGCACCGATCGCACCCGCAGCTGCAGTTGCACACGTACCTGCTGCCTCTCCCACACGCCTCCTGCCGTAGGAGCTCCTTACAGCGGCTGGCAGCCGCAGTTACCTTGCCAGTCACATCCTAAGCTTCTAGTCTAGTTGTTCCTAGTGTTCTACACTCGGCATTCTAGCCCCGTTCGTCACCCTCTTAGCCGGTTTCTTGTCTAGTCCTCAGGCCACGTCTCGTTGTTCGTTTCGGATACTCCTAGCCTAGCCATTCTGGCTCCGTTCATTACTCGTTCCGGCCGTTCCTCGACCCGTTTCGGTTCTTCTGGCATCGTACGCCCTTCGTTCGTTCCTAGCTCTGGCCGCTCCTAGCCTTGTGCTCATCTGGAGCACCTGGGGTGGTGGTTGAGCACCTGGGGTGGTGGTTGAGCATCTGTCTCCTCTCTCTTCCACTCATTACACCTTAGGGGTTTCAGCCCCCATCTCTCTCTCTCTCCCTCCCGCTCACTAACACCTTAGGAGTTTCAACCCCCATCACCCTCTCACGCACACCACCAGCCCCCACCCCCCTGCCCCACTCACTTACCCACCTCAGGGGTTGCAGCCCCACTTTCTCGTCGCCCTCTCACTCCTGTTACCCTGGGGGATTCAGGCCCCCGGCATTGCCCCTCACACAACTCAACCTGGGGTTGCAGCCCCCCTTCTCTTCGCCCTCTCACTCCACTGCTGTACCCACCGAAGGGGTGTCAGCCCATTCCCTTCCACCCACCCACCCAAGGGGTTTCAGCCCCTTCCCTCCCATTACCTGCCAGCAGAAGGAGCAGCAGACAGCCCACTTCCTTAGGGAAACAGCACCATCTGAGGCTGTGACTTGTGAGAAATATGGCAGTGGAAAAGCGCTTCCAGCAAAAGAGCCAAAGCCCTCGGTACTCAAAATTTCAACCCAGACGTAGCCAGAGCTGACGCGAACCAAAGTCGCAGGTGCTCTGGCGGTGTCCATTAGGTCTTGAATGCCAGATCGCTTACTTGAGCACCAAGTGTTTTGCCGCGCGAATTCCACCCGTCGCACGCACCTCACCCACAAGGCACAACCCCAGATGATGCTGCCCCTGAGGCAGTGAACTCCCCGCTTGCTCCCATACTCCCCACCCACCCGCCCCACACATCACCCACATGCCTCCTTACCTGTACCTACAACAGCCGTGCAGAGCGTCATGATGCTGAGGGTGTGGGAAGTGGAGAGAGAAGGGGGATTAGGGGAGGGAGAGACTTCTCTGTGGTCCAGGCAGGGTGCTGCTGGGAGAAAGGGAAAAGGTAGAGAGGAGGAGGTGAGTGAGTGAAAAGGTGGAACTCCACTCTCCCGCCCTTGCTCCAGTGCTCTCACACTCAGATGCTCACTACCGTATCACCACACTCAAGATGCTGGTCCTGCCCACTAAGGAGCGGTCCTACCCATAAGTCTCAAAATTCTGCCCAAGGTTTGGATCACCAACCCTCTACCATTTTGGGATCGTTTGACCTTACGGGCATCCTTTACATGTACGGATGTCACAGCTATAAAATCTCTTTTTTGACAAGGTTCATACCGACACATCATTATAATGATTCGACAGCAGTGGTGTTGCTCTGAAGCTCAGGGTGGCCTACACATCACGGCACCCAATCATGGCATGGCACTCACACAGTTATACCGAAGGACACACAACAAGTGCACCATAAGTACACCACAAGTTCACATCACATCCCACAGTTCACTCCCACCAACCAATCCAATGTTCCCGAATCCCCATCGACACACACCCATCACCTTCTCCTCCTCACACCCCCATCCCCACCTGCCCCATTCTCGCTGCTCTGCCTCATTCCATCCCTCCGTTCCTTCCCCCAGCACCACCTCCCTCCCCTCTCTGCTCCTGATGCCATCAGAGCTCGTCATACCCAGCACCCTCAGGCTCAGGCTTATCCTCAGGCACCTTCTTCCCAGTCATCTTCTCAACAAACTTCACAATCTCTTCCCTGCCCCCCTTCGCTGCCTCCTCTCTGCTGCTGCTAATGCTGCTGCTGCTGCTGCTGCTGCTGCTGCTGCTGCTGCTGCTGCTGCTTTTGCCTCCCTCCTCACTCCCTCTCTCCCTCCCTCCGTCCCTTACCCAATCGCCCATTCTGTCCTTCTCCCCTCCCCTCCTTCCCGTCCCCCCCACTCCCTCACAGCTCGTCATACCCAGCACTCTCAGGTTCCTTGTCTTCCACCTTCTTGCCGGTCATCTTCTCAACAAACTTCACAACTGCTGCTGCTGCTGCTGCTGCTGCTCTTGCTTTTCCCCGCCCTCCCTCCCTCCCCCTTTCCCCCCACGCCATCACAGCTCGTCATACCCAGCACTCTCTGGTTCCTTGTCCTCCACCTTCTTCCCGGTCATCTTCTCAACAAACTTCACAATCTCCTCCCGGCCCCCCTTGGCCGCCTCCTCCGCCTGTGCATACACCTCCCCCATCTGCTCCTCCTTGCTCTTGCTGCTGCCGCCCTTCTTGCTCCCTTTCTTCTTCTTCTTGCCCCCGGTTGCTGCTTTCGGCTCCTCGGCTGCTTGCTTCTCCTGCTGGCGTTTAAATACCTGTTGGGTTGATGGAGTAAAGGCCGTGGGATGTGGAGGGTAACTTTTGAATCGACTGTTTAGGGTATGGAGTACTGCGCAGGGCAGTGAGAGCGCTACAGGGCAGTGAGAGCGCATGGTATCTTGTTAAGTGTGAAGTGACAAGTGCGTCGCAAGGGAGGCAGGAGGGGTAGGATGGCAAGAGGGAGAGGGCCGGCGATAGATGGAGTGAGCGCACGAATGCGGGTGCATGGATGCAGGGGTGCATGGGTGCATGGGTGCAGGGGTGCATGGATGCAGGGGTGCATGGATGCATGGGTGCAGGGGTGCATGGATGCATGGGTGCAGGGGTGCATGGATGCATGGGTGCAGGGGTGCATGGATGCATGGGTGCAGGGGTGCATGGATGCATGGGTGCAGGGGTGCATGGATGCATGGGTGCAGGGGTGCAGGGGTGCATGGATGCAGGGGTGCATGGGTGCATGGGTGCATGGGTGCAGGGGTGCATGGGTGCATGGATGCAGGGGTGCATGGGTGCATGGGTGCAGGGGTGCATGGATGCATGGGTGCAGGGGTGCAGGGGTGCATGGATGCAGGGGTGCATGGGTGCATGGGTGCATGGGTGCAGGGGTGCATGGATGCATGGATGCATGGGTGCATGGGTGCATGGGTGCATGGGTGCATGGGTGCATGGGTGCATGGAGCGAAGAGCAGGGCGAGCATACCTCTTCAGGCATGCCCATGCCCTTGGGCATCTTGATGTTCTTGATGGCCGCCTGATGGTCCAGCACAGAGACAAGCAAACAGAAGCACATGGGGAAACACGCAAAGGAGATTCAGAAACAACAGCCCCTTGAGGCATGCCCATGCCCGTGGGCATCTTGATGCTCTTGATGGCCGCCTGATGGCGTGTGAGTTGTAACACACACAAGCAACAAAAGGTGCACGGGGAAACACGCAGGGGGGGGGGGTTGGACGTGGAGGGAGGGAAAGGCAGGTGACAGGTGTTGGGCTGGTTGGTTATGCGGGAATGAGGGGGTTTGGAACTGTGGCAGTGAGGGGAAGATGGGTGTTGACTTGAACATGGCGTCTGGTTGGGGCGACGAGGGGCCTTAGAGGCGAGGAGAAGAAGGTTCGATGGGGTTGGACATGGGGGGACAAAGGGATCTGGCTTGGAGGTGAGGGGGAGACGGCAGAGAAGCGAAGCTGGAATCAGTTGAGTGTGCAGTTGAGGGAAAGGAGGATGCAGTTGAGGGAAAGGAGGATGCAGTTGAGGGAAAGGAGGATGCAGTTGAGGGAAAGGAGGATGCAGTTGAGGGAAAGGAGGATGCAGTTGAGGGAAAGGAGGATGCAGTTGAGGGAAAGGAGGATGCAGTTGAGGGAAAGGAGGATGCAGTTGAGGGAAAGGAGGATGCAGTTGAGGGAAAGGGGGATGCAGTTGAGTGGGAGCAAGAAGCAGGCTGCTATGGCATTCACGAGGAGACGAACGTGGAAAAGACCGGGAGAGTGAATGGCGATGTAGGTATACCGTATAACGCATTCCAGGATGGTGGGAGGGCATGGTGAGGCAAGGTGGGACACAGTGGGACACGGTGGGACACGGTAAGCATAGTGGTGATGCGCGGTGGGCACATAGCTGCTGGCCGACTGCCCTTTTGAAAGGCACCACCAACACCACGTGTCTCATCGGCGCCTGCTAATGCCTCCTCGTTCATGCATGTGCGCTGTGCTGCGCTGTGCTGCGCACCTCATCGTGCATGACTCTGGCGGGGATGTTCTTTTCCTCGGCCATCGAGCTTAGTCCGAGGGGCTGCGTGCATGTGTGCAGTGCAGTGCGTGTGTGCATGTGTGCAGCGCATGTGTACTGTGCGGTACTGTGCGGTGCTGGGCTATGCCTGGCCATACCACGCACCTCATCGTGCATGACGCTGGTGGGGATGTTCATCTCCTTGGCCATCTTGCTGTAGTCCGGCGGGCTGTTATCCTTCTTCTGCCAGTTCTCCCCGGGCTCTCGGTCCTGTGTGACCCACAACGCACAACACACCGCAACAGAGGAGAGCAGAGCAGAGCAGCACGGGGCGACTTTAGAGTCGACTCAAGAGTCACTTTGTAGTCCGGCGGGCTGTTGTCCTTCTTCTGCCAGTTCTCCCCCGGTTCGCGGTCCTGTGTGACCCACAACGCACCATAAGACAACAGAGCAGAGCAGAGCAGCACATAGCATGGCAGGGCAGGGCACGGCACGGCACAGCACAGGAAAGCAGAGCAGGGAAGATCAGAGAAGAGCAGGCGTGGGAGACAAATTATATAGGAAGCGAGAGAGAGGAGAAGGAGAAAGGGAGGTATGATGGGAGGTAAGAAGGAAATCATCAAGGGATTGCTAGAGTTCCGCTCCATGTGCCTTGCACACAAGCCTGAAAAGGCCCCTTGCAGAGAATCATGAATATCCAACCACGCAACAACTCATTACACGACTCATTACACGACTCACTACACGCGGATTGAAGGGGGGTGAAGGGCGAAGCTCTCACCTGCGGCACAGACGGCGGCTTGGAGGCGCAAGCGCGCAAGCAAGCAAGCAAGCCTTGCTGAGGTGGTGGCAGAGGTAGCGCTGCAGAGAGGTGAGGTGAGGACTGCGAGGGCCCTTGGGGGCTGATACGAGTTGCCTCTACTCACACGGACGGGACGGG